TGCTAATGACCTCATGGTCCCATCTTCCATCCAGAGTCCACACCCCCTACCTTTGAGGGTTTGGGGCCTAAGAAAGAACGCCTGGCACTGTACATCCTGAACACCCAGGGCCTGGTTCCTGAGCATGTGGAGACCCGCACACTGTACAGTAACAGTCAGCCAGGTATCGACCAGGTATGGGCTCCTGCCTCTGATGAACTGCACCAGATAAGGAAACGGGTGTCCATCCACCCAGGACATAGTTCACAGTGAGAAGCAAGGGCAGGTCAACAACTCACATGTGTGCACAGACAGGAGTCAAGCATGTTTTGCATGTTAGTAAGAAAGATGTTCCAATGATGTTACTTAGAGAAGGTGATGCCTGGAAAGGCTGTTAAGAAATGGATGCCTCACAACAGTGTGGGACACTCTAGCGTCTCCCACCAACCACTAGTACCACTGATTTTGCTCTCCTGGGGTTTAGGGAGGGGGCACCATAGCTCAGAAGGCACAAACACTACAAAACCCAGTTTGAGTCGCTTAACTGCAGACTGTCTTCCCTATATCAAGGAACTCAGGGGCACAGCTCCCACAAGGGCACCTTAATTATGGCTCATTGTCCAACTATAAAAATGGCTCCATCGTTCCACAAATCTTTCACATTCATGAAGTCTTCTGCTGAGCAATTTTTAAAATAACCATCCTCATTAAACCGGCTTTCTCAAATGGGTCAACTTGGAAGAATAAAAGTAGGTCAGGAGGCTGGGCAGGCAGGACGTATTTACCTATTTTCTAAGGCTGATGGCCCCACCCTTTCCCTTCCTCTGCTTACCATTTTCACCACTAAATCTTTCTCTCAGGACTCTCTACTTCGTGGCCAGCATAATAACCTTAGGTTGTGGTCACACAACACAGAGTCCTTACTGACCATCCAGTTTCCTTACTTAAGGCTTGTATGCTGCTGAATACATGAGGCCCAACCCCAACACGGATCCCCATCAACAGGCCACCCAGCATGACCTCACGCTCCACCCCCAGGACATAAGTGAAATCTCAACAACCACTTAGTCTCAGAGTCAGCACCCTTCACCCTCGCTCACTTGCCTTCCCAGCCAAAACTAAAGGAGCTGGCAGGTGATCACTTGCCCCCTCCCAGCAATCTCTAGGCCCCGCCCCTCATCCAAGCCTCAGCCCCTCATACTACCTAATGGAAGGGAGACCAGCAACCTTCAACCTGCAAACCCATTCTGGCTCTAGGGGAAAATACAAATGTGGGTGGATATCTTCCCCAAAATGCTGGGGCCTCCCGGCCCCCGAGTCAACATCAGCCCCAGGAAGCCCAAACGGTGAGTATATGGGAGCCCAGTTCCTAATCATGGCGCTCCAGCTCAGCCCCCAGGGTGCAGGGAGCCTCCGATCCCAGGCGGTGGGAATTCTCCATCAGGTTTAGGAGCTTTCCTGTCCTTGTTCAGGCTCTCTGGGCAGGCCCTCCTCTGCAGGGCTGGGGGGGGGGTGGGGGGGGGGGGGGCTGGTCCTCAGCCTGGCCTCAGAGCATAGCGGCTACAGGTACGAAGTGCGCTGCATCATCTGGAGTACCTCCCAAGTGGACCTGGTTCGTCAGACCTTAAGTAGAGAGAAGATGAGTGACATCTACGTCAAAGGGTGAGGCTGGGGGCAGGGGACATGACTCCAGAAGGCCCCTTAGTTCTCTGGTTCTGTCACCCTGCTGGAGCCTCCTTGTCCTGAGGGAAACAGCCCTCTGCCACCACTTGTGTGTAGTGGGATGGGGACCACACACAGGAGCCCCAGGTGAAAGGACTCTGGCCCCAGGTGGCTATTTGGGCTAGAGAAGGACATGCAGAAGACAGATGTCCACTACCACTCCCTGACTGGGACAGCCGTCTTCAACTGGAGGTTCATCTTCACCATGGACTACCTGGTCACAGAGCGTGTATGCGTCCAAAGCCAGAAGGTAAGGGATGGGGAGGAGAAAAGAAGGGAAGAGCCTTAGGGTCCAAGGGATTCACCATTGTTTCAGAGACTTGCAAGCTGTAACAGGATGTTAGGAGCATGTCCTTAGGCAGAGCCCCTCTTCCTTGATAGCCTGTCATTGCTGACTAGTGGACTAATGGTTGTCCAAGGGAAATGTCCACGAGGCAGGTCATAACACAGCCTTCTGCTGTCCTCCAGGACTACATATGGAGCCTGGATCCCACATCGCACAAGTTTCCAGCCCGGCTCATCATCCAGATATGGGACAATGACCTCTTCTCCCCTGATGACTTCTTAGGTGAGGTCCTGGTGTAGGGCTTGTGACACCCGATAAGCAAGTCTTCTTGCTGATGATGGCTTTTCTCTGGGCTCAGGGGTCTTGGAGCTGGATTTGTCAGACATGCCCCTTCCGGCTGAGAGCAGCAAGCGATGTTCCCTCAAGATGTTGGAAACTGACTCCAAATGGCCCTCCACGCAACAGAAGCGTATCTCTCTCTTTAAGAAGACCAATGTAACTGGATGGTGGCCTTGTCAGGTCCACGATGGTGACAAGTGGCGTTTATCGGTAGGAGCTGGGGAGGGTGTTTAGTGACTAGGAGCTTGATGCATCTAACCTAGCTCTCGCAGACTTCTAGGACCTTAGTCAAAGCTCCTCTCCTTTGCAGAGGTGGAGAAGTGGTCCTGAAATGACCTTGCCCCTACTGTCTGAGCAGAGCAGCCCCTGCCCCTTTGTCTTTGGCATTTCTAGGGTAAAGTGAAGATGACCCTGGAGATTCTGCCAGAGAGGGAGGCATTAATCAGGCCAGCCGGGCAAGGTCAATCAGAACCCAACCAGTTCCCTACACTCCATCCTCCCATGTAAGGGCCCTGTGGGGCACAGGCACCAAGTCCATCATTCCTCCTCCTTTGTCTACGGTGGTGACTGGTGGGCCTCCATGTGGAAAGGGACAGTTACTTCCTCCTACATGGCTAAGTTACAGTCAGGAAATAAGACATGGGGTTGGGTATAAGGGGCTCCCCAACCTGTTAGAGAAAAGACCAAAGGCTGTGGGTCACTTGATCTGAAGGTTCCTCTTGCCCTCCATTTTCTGGCATCCACTGTCACGGGCAGACGAAATGACTCCTCTTTCTTGTGGTACCGGTCACCTATTAAAAACTTCTGCTATGTTTTCTGCAAACGCTACCGCTCCAAAATCATATGCTTTTCGGTGATACTGGTTTTAGCGATTATACTGTTCAACTTCGTCTATTCGGCTCCGGTGAGTGCTAACCACTGGGGTCAGGACAAAGGTACTGGCCACTCTTGTGTCAGCTCTGAGAGTACACTTAGGTTTCTACTTTAGGCTACTCTGGTGTCTTTTCTCTCTCTAGAACTATTTGGCCATGGATTGGATCAAACCTGAACTTCGGCTGAACCCCCCCATTAAAATCATCAACTTCATCGGCTCAGTAAACACCAGCAGCATCAACTCTTCCATCTTTAACATGGAGGGCTCAAAACTACATCCTTTAAAAGACCATGAGCCGACATTCCTCCAAGGATCCAGGAGACACATGAGAGATGTCACCCCAGAGATGCCAGCAGCTCCACAAGGCTAGGTGACCTGACTTCTCTCTCACCTGCCGCGCAAGCACCCTGTCCTTTCGGCTTCCTAGATCCTTGTTTGAGTCTTCTAGGACACATCCAAGGGACCATGCGTATTCTGACTCAAATGTTTAGAGACCACTTCTAACCAGAGCAGAACTGTTAATTTTCTACTGAAATAAATATGTTTATCTAACAAAGCTACCTTGGAATTTTGGGGGTTGGGATTAAAGACAACGTGAAAGGCTGAAAATGCCAGCTCTTTGAGACTTGGGGAACAACGCCACATTTAGTCACCCCATCTAGTCCTGGATTTCTTCTGTATGGAGGCTTTGACAGAGAAAACAAGGGAAGGGCTAACTCCTGAGTCATATGTGGAGGCCATGGCTTATACCCAAGTACAAGTGCACAAGAGCCACACAAGGGACCAGGCACTACCTCATCCAGCACACACTCTGGGGTTACAACGCCCAGAAAAATAGCCTTACTCGCCACAGAAATCATTTATTTCTGCAACAAAAAGCAAGAGCTGGGACAGGATGTATGATGCTGAGCAGGTGGTTTCCCTCCCTCCCTCCCTTCCTTCCTTCCTTTTCTTCCTTCCTTCATTTGTTTTTGTTTACCAAAACAGGGTTTCTCTGTGTAGTCACAACTGTCCTAGAACTTGCTGTGTAGACCAGGCTGGCCTTGAACTCAGAGATCCACTGCCTTTGCTTTCTGAGTGCTAGGACTGAAGGTGTGCACCACTATTGCCCGGCATAGGTAGTTTTCTTATACATTTCTCAAATGGGAAAAGACTAGTTCCCAGGCTATGTGGGACCACAGATCAATCCTCTGGCCTTCTTTCAAGGCATCCAGGTGCTCATGAGCAGGAATCACACAAACCCAACCTATGCTATCTCTCACTCCTCCATGATAAAAACCTTTCCATCCCACTGCTATGATAGTCATCTCAACAGCCCACTTAGGTCCTCAACTACACCGACCCCTCCGCCTTCCTTTGAACTCAAAATGGACAAAACTAACATTTCTTGATATTCTCCTGGTACTAAGGCCAACCTCTATATCCCAGTTCATCCCCTAGCTCCCCTGAAGCTATTCTGCTACTGTGGGAAATTGTTAGGAGGGGGCTTTCTGCACTTCACCTCTCTTGCAGAAGGGCAACATAGTATCCTGCTTAAACACACAGGAAAGACAGAGGCCTGAGAAGATGAACACCCATCTGCAGCCAGGGTGACCCCTCCTCCTAGTCTAGGGATGAGCATGAGGGCTTTCCCAGTCACCCAGGAGGGGCAGGGTAAGAGCTGACATACCTGAGGCTCAGAAAACAGGCTGGCACCACCCCACTAAGCCTACCCCAGAAGAAGGTCACTGAGCCAGGACTCATGATTGGTTCCATCAGCCACTTTAAGAATTTTTTCTGGACTTCAGAGACCGAGAAAACTCAGTTTCAGGCCCTCCAGGGAGACTAGCCTGTAACCAATTTAATCACAGGGCAGATAGGTGAGCAGCATGTGACATTTGTAGAATAAGGCAGTGTAATAGGGGTGACACACACATAGGACCACACTCAAGCTGTGCTGCTCAGTGATCAGGACTTTGCCAGACAAAGAACTTCGGTCTTTTGCTCTCAGAGATTTGTTACATGAAATTAGCAACTGTTGCTCCTAATTAAGAAGCCAAATCTCCTCTTGGGGTCATGTCTAAGTCCAGGGAATAAGAAGCTGCTTTCTACTTCAAATCCTCCAAGCAGGATCCTAAGAATCACGAGAAACAAAACATGCAGCTAAGCAGGCTCCAGTGTGTCCAGAAACACCTCCGCGTGGTCAGAGGAGACGAATGCAGCTTTCTGTGGCACACCTGGGCCTGGATGATGTCACAGCTAATCTCACAGCACCTGTGACTGGGACGGTGTCTAAGCTTCACTTCATTTGTAGCAACTTTTAGCCAAATGATCCAAAGGCCTGGAGAGCTCCAATTCAGAAAGCTGAAAATGCAGGGACAGACAAGAATGGAACAAGATCCACCCAGTGCAGACCAGAGACTGAAGCAATGAGCTAATGCAGAAAGTCCTAGGGCCACCTAATGGGAGCAGCAAACTTCTTTCCCAGCTCAGGATGCACACACGGAGGACCATGAGTGAAGGGAGACAGAGAGGCAGGTGCAAATGTGGCAGAAGTCTCCGTCCCGATTGCCAAGAGGCTCAAGTAGAAAGGGCCATGGGCAGAAGCAAAAACTAGTAAGTGGGTTTCCAGGTTGTATGAGTTCTGGTTTTCTATTTGGGAATTTAAAAGAAGTAGAAGGCCTGCTGCATCCAGTCTATCCTTAGAGTAGCTATCCGATTTTGTAATTTAGGCATCACAATATATATATTTCTTCCATGTCTCTTCACTCCTAAGTTTAAGGACTGCAGGGAAGGCACATCACAGCTGCTCGGCCCTGTGGGTGGCGTCTGGGGCCAGTGAGATGTTCCCGTGGATGACCATGAGAATGCAGCATCAATGCATTCAAAGCCCCAGTGAGCGAACACAGTCTCTGAACAACTGGCGACTCAAGCAGACTTGCCAGGCTGTATGCTCAGACCCACACCTCATGGGTAAATATCATAGAGGGGCTGATGGCAGCAGGCTCAGTAGAAGCGTTTTCGACTCTGGTCCTGCCATTTGTTGTAGAGTATGATACCAATGACAATGGCAAACACAGAAAACACCAGCGAGAAAAAGACGATAAGAAAGAGGGCCAGGCCACTCAGAGGTGCTGGTGGTACCGTCACTGAGGAAGCAAAAGAAAAAAAAAAAAACAAAAACCAATCAGATTCAGAGCCTATTCAACAGTGGGTCAACCAGTCCCTGGTTTCTGACCCCACTTCTGGGGAGCCCGAGCCCTGACTCCCCCTTTCTAGATGACTCAATTTAAAAATGAAGCAGCTGTAACAAGACAGGTGGGAAGGTAGTGCAGGCATTCCATGTGCCTCAGAGGAGCACCAAAAGACCAACCCGACAGCTGTAGGTGCCAGTCACCCCGGAATCCATGAACACTGCAACCTCCTCCCTGAGCATGCACCATCTCCCAGGGTCCCACACTCACTCTCGGGCAGCTTCAGATTGTCCACTGAGGGCAGGAATACATCTCGATGTAGCTTTTCTTCTTCTGGGGTCCTCACCCCCGTCAGCTCAAACAACTTCAGGGAAATAACATCATGATTATCTAGAGGAGAGAGTACAGAGGATTACTCCAGCTGCCTCAACAAGAGGGCTTCTGGAGTTAGTATCTTGGCTCAACTTTGGATCAGAGACTTGATCCTCTATCCACTGACATTGCTGCTCCTCTATCCAATGACAGCAATGCCTTGATGCAACCTGGACATCTAAAGTAGAACAAGAACTATTTCAGGGGAGCAAGGAGACTAACAGAAGGGAGGTGGAAGTGAGACATGGTGATGGGGAGGCAAATGTAGCCTTCCTGGCTTTTCTCAGACGTTCTAGGCTTGTTATGTTTCTTGTCTCAGATCCGCTGTCAACTAACCCTTAAGGAAGCTCTGCCCCCTTCAGTGGGGACTGATATTGAGCCTAGCCTGAACTTCTGATCATTTCTAAGGACACATCCTAGCCCCTGGTCTGCTACCGCCATCAACAAATCCAGAGCAGAAGAAACTGCCTTCATCTTCATTTGGAAAATGTTTTCACTGTCAGAACCAAGCTTAAACTCCAGGACAGGATAAAAAGCCAGGGCAGGCCAGGTATGGTAGCACACAAGTAGTCTCAGCACTTGAGAGGCTAGTCTTGGCTACATAGCAAGTTCTGGGCTAGCTTGGGCTACATAGTCTCGCTCACAAAATAAAGAAACAAAACATCAAAAGAAGTTACACAGAAGATGGATCTTCCCTCTTTTCCTTTCCTTTTGAGGCAGGGTTTCATTTTGTAGTTCAAACTAACCTGGAATTGCTATGTAGCCCAGTTCATCCTTCTTTTCTCTTCTCTTCTCTTCTTTCCTTTCTTTCTTTTTATTAGTTAGTTAATTAGTTAGTTAGTTGGTTAGTTATTTTGAAGGAGGGTCTCACTTTGAAGCCCTAGCTGCCCTGGAACTCACTATGAAGACCACGATAGCCTTAAACTCAGAGAACCACCTGCCTTGGCCTCCTCCTTTTTCCTTTCCCTTGCCTTTCTCTGTTCTTCCTTCCTTCAAAACAAAGCCAAGGTAAAGCTCTCTACAGTGTGTGGACATCAAAGCCTGGGACAGCTGACAACTATTTGAACTTTCTCAACAAGTCCTTGAGTAAGAAAAATGAGACAATGCTAGGTATGGTGCCTATAATCCCAGCACATAGAAAGTGATGGAAGAGCCGGGTGGTGGTGGTGCACGCTTTTAACACCAGCACTTGGGAGGCAGAGGTAGGCGGGATCTCTGTGAGTTTGAGACCAGCCTGGTCTATAGAGTGAGCTCCAGAATAGGCTCTAAAGTTACACAGAGAAACCCTGTCTCAGGAAAGAAAAAAAAAAAAAAAAAAGCAAGATTGTCTTAAAACTAAAACAAACAACTAAAAGCCAAACAAACTAAAAACGGCAAAACTATATTTCTACAGGTTAGAAATTTATGATTTTTTTTTAAATTGCCTGCCTGGCCCAAAACTAGGTAGAGTGTTAGCATGTCAGTCAAGGAAGGTTAGCATTTCAGAATGCGGGTGAAATGAGCTGGAATGGCCTAAGAATGGTGAGGACGAGAGCACTGTGCATGGTAAGGAACAAGCTCAGCTCGGGAGTAGGCAGACGGCTGGCAAACTGGACATACGCTCCATTCAAAAGTCTGAACAAAGAGAGATTGGAGGTTGGTCAGGAGAGGGATGCTGGAGTCAACGTGCAGCTCTGTGAGGAGGAGGGGAACTGGGCCCAGTAGTGAGTACAGGCGAGAAGACTGACAGTAGGAAGGCCAAAGAGGCAGGGAAGCAAGGCATTCACACTGGCTGGAAGAGCAGCTAGACAAGCGCAACTAACTTAACACTGCTTAAGTTAGTTCCTGCATACAACTGTCCCAAGAGAGCCTGGACTGGAGTTTTTACAGGACCTAGACAAAAATGCACAGCATTTTTAAGCCATATACATGGCTTCCCAAAGCTCTTTCAATCGGCTCTCCTCAGAGTAAGGCCTCATCAAGCACTGGGTACTGACCAAAGGGATCAACTAAGGCAAACAGAGAAAACAGAAAACACAGTGTGATACCAGAGAGATCCCCAGTGATGGAGGAAGTGCCGAAGTAATAGCCCCGGGGGAGACGGACCCCAGGCATCTCAATGCAGTCCCTCCACTCATGTTTGCCATCAATATCCATCATTATCTAGAACAAAGGAAAGATATATCAGGGACAGGCCACAGGAGCAAGGGTGTTGCTTATCACCAACTGCTCCAGGACAGGACTCACCGTCAGATGCCTCTTGACATAGCGAATCACAAGGAAGGTGTCATAACGGAGATTGCGGACAATGGCTGTGCAGCCCCCAAGCTCTGTGGGCCGTCCATCCCGCTCATGATCATAGCTGAGGGAGCCGTTGTTCACCATGGCTGAGATGTAGGGGAATACCCGCTGGGACACAGGGAGGGAAAAGCAGACAGTGAGGAAGAGCTCTTAGCAATGCCTGCACAATCGTGAGAGGAAACGAGCACCTTTTGGATCAGCAGAGCAGGTCACCCTGCCTCATCTTAAGCACCACCCCCCATCACCCACAAACAGATGATCACGCAAGGGACACGGACCCAGGAAGCACTGAATTCCACACGACGTTAGTAATTCTCCTTGCTCCAGGCCTCGGGTAGACCTGAAGTGGCCCTGCAAGACTCTGGAGACTAGCTCTATTCCTCCCAGCTATCAACACTTGGTACTTAAACGCTAGCAGTTTCCTCTTAATGGACAGATAGCTTTCTCCCCAGCTGCTGCTTGAAGAAAAGGAAATCATCTCCAGGTCTCCACTTCAGCCCTATCCCTCTGCCCAAGCAAAGGGTTTTGCACACAGCAGGTATTCTGAAAATACCTGTTTGAGTAGGCAGGGAAACTTTTCCAGTCTGGATAGCTCCTTTCAGACTCTAAAAGCCTACCAGTGTATGATGCTAAATGAAGTATAATCCAGAAAGCACTGCTGGAACAGGCTCTGGGTGGGCTTCTCTAGCCACAACAACTTTTCGTAGTCAAAACTTTCAGCCCAGCCACACATAACTTCCAAGACCGCCAATAGTAAGAGGTCAACATCCCCCATAAAGGAAAACTTAAACATCTCCATGTTACCAACTTGGGTTTTCACTTCTTAAAGTGCCTTCTCTCCAACAGAGCTGTAGAAGTAAACTTCCTCACAACTGTTGAGCTACCATTCCAGAATGATCCCAGTGCAAGTCAATGCAGAGGGGCAGGGCGATGGAGGGGGAGGGAAACACAAGGCATGCTGCTCCTTGGACAAGCTCCACACTGTCCACACTGTGAACATGCAAGGAGGAAATGCAGTCAAGACCAGAGACTTGGAATTTCTGGGACAACAGCCACATGGACTCTAAGCAGCAAGAAATGTCAGATGGACATATGAGAATGAGGGAAGACCATGGTGAGTCAAGAACCGGGTACCTGGACTCCTGGAGAATAGCGCCTCTTCTGGGCCTGAGAGGGTCCAGCAGGTTATTACAGAAACAACACAGAACACAGGAGACCAAGTCAGAAAGAGACAGCCTTGGAAGAGCTGTGACCCTGCTGTGGTAGATGAATTCCCAGCCTAAATGCCCAGACAGAATTCTAGGGTCCACAAAGGGCACGCAGCAAGTTCCTGAAGCTCTCACAAGGTGCCAGAGTAGACGCACAGGTGTTTGCGCTTTTGTAAGGCTGTCTGGTACTACCACCACCAGATTCCCAAGGGAGCCTACTACAAAGGTCTCTCTACCCCATGGAAGGGCCTGGGGCCTGGGGCTTCCAGCAGCTTTATAAAACACACCATCTTGCACTGTGCCCAAACACAACTGGGTTATGTCTCCCAGACCACTGTATTTCTATAGCAAGGAGGGGGAAAAAGACTAAACTCTTCTAAAGTTGAGATGTCTTCTCAGGGTCTCAGGATACAGCTCCTGCCCGAAGACAAAATTCCCACTGTATGAGACTATGAAATTAACTCTAATCCAAAGGGATCATCAACCCTCTAATTGAGCCTCACGGACACATCATTTCCAAATAACTGCTGTCACTCCAACCTACAACCCGGGGCAGGGTGAGGCTCTGCGGAGTACAGCAGCCAGCAACGTAGGAAAACCACTGGGCTTGAGGGCATTTTAGCTCTGCCTCAGCAAATTTTCACAGCTCTAAACTGTCAGCATTGAGAGAAACCCGTACAGGCTCAGCTCAGCCTGGTTCATAAGAGGGTGGGGGAAGGGGACCCCAAAGCATTCATTCCTCTCATCCTTAGTGAGCACTTATGGTAAGAGCCAGTACTGTTTGAAATGCTGGGGTCCAGTGGGAAACAGCCTGGACTGGTATCTGCTCTCACAGGACTAACCCAGAGTGGGAGAGGCAGACAAATAAAATTTAGTAAAAAGCAAGCAGATAAATAAAATTATTTCGGCCGGGCGGTGGTGGCGCACGCCTTTAATCACAGAACTTGGGAGGCAGAGGCAGATGGATTCCTGTGAGCTCAAGGCCAGCCTGATCTACAAGAGCTAGTTCCAGGACAGCTAGGAATGATACACAGGGAAACCCTGTCTCAAAACACCAAAGAAAAATAAATAAATAAAATTATTTCAGACAATGATAACTGCTATGGTGAAAAAAGGGCAACACAATGGACAAGGGAACTCTGTTCTGGTGGGACCCAGTGGTCAGAGGGATAAAAGGATTCAACATATATGATCTGATGTGTTAAGAACAAGAGGTTGGCACGTTGAGAACTCAGAGAAGACAGGAGTATCTGAAATCCAGCTAGTGAGGAAGAGGTTGGTGAAAGACAAGGCACAGGACAGCATATCAGCCTCATGGGTGGGTGGGGGGAGGTGAGGGCAGAGCAGCTTCGCAGAAGTTGTTAACCACTGGCAGAACATAAACAGGACTTGAGAGGCATTTGTCCATCTGAGGATGATAAAACACCATAAAGTTACTCTTGTGTAACTGTCATTTAGAGCAAGGTAATTGCCAGTGTGTTATTAAGCAATTAACAGAAATGGGATTCTGAGAAAGCTTGTAACTTCAGAGAACAATTAAGGAAAGGAAGGGATTAAAAAAAATGCCCTGGGGTGCTCTGATGATCCCAAGATTTGCTTCATTTATCACCTCTAATCACAAGTTTAATTTAGAATTTTAAAATGCCTAGGACAGCATTTCTTAGTCAAGAGTGTCCAACTCTTCCCATGGCTGGTGTGTGTCATCTGATCACCCAGGAAGAGCCAGGTGGTGTGCTGTGCCCAAATCGACTGGAGGATCTTTCATCTTTACACATACAAGAGTACCTCCATAGAATTTCACTGTCATCTAGAGTGGGACACAGGGATTCATTCTTGTTTTTGTGTTTTGGGACAGAGCTTCATGTAGCCCTGGCTGGCGTCAAACTCTCTGGTAGGAATGACTCTGAGTTTCTCATCTCTCTACCTATACTTCCCAAATGTTGGGAATAAAGAATGTGTGTGCGGTTTCATGCAGCTCTGGGGTCCAATAGGGGCTTCCTGAATGCTATGGAAGCACTCTAACTGAGCTACATCCTCCACCTCAGGAAGCCCACAACATGCAGACAAAATTAAATTCTGCAATAGATGACATTGGGCCCCAGGGCCCCAAAGCTACAATCCGTCTGCTTTAGCAACTCATACTATGCCTTCAACTCTTAACCTCTCATAGCAGTAAGACACTGAATGCCAGCTCGTTTTCCACTCCTAATTAGGAGTTTTTAAAGTGTTTCTTGCATAGTCACTGATTCACAGGGCAGCAGATTGACAGTCCTACAGCCAGAACTAAACTGAATAACCTACCGAGGTAAGGCTGAGAGTTTCATTCCTAATTTCAGAGTCATCAAAAATTAGGAATTCCAATGTGTTATCCAAATGAATACCATCTGTAGCACAGGAAATGTTTCCAAACTTTGCACTATAGAGCTACTCATGGTTTTCAAAATGACCCTCTATTACTAGCTAATCTTTGTTTTGTTGTGTTTTTTGTTTTTTTTTGGAGAGAGGGTTTCTCTGGGTAGCTCTGGCTGTCCTGAATTGCTCTGTAGACTAGGCTGGCCTCAAACTCAGAGATCAGAATGCCTCTGCTTCCTGAGTGCTGGGATTAAAGGTGTGTGCCATCCAATTCTACTAGCTAAATTTTATAGCATTCACTCATTAAAAAGATACTCATGATTCTTCCTTGGACCCCTCCCACTCTCAGAAGTTTTCGCACTTTTCTCTTTTATGATCACTGGTGTTTTGCCTCATGTATATCTGTGTGAGGGTGTCAGAAGCCCTGGAACTGGAGTTACAGACAGGTGTGAGCTGCCCTGTGGGTGCTGGAAATTAAACCTGGGCACTCAGGAAAAGAAGCCAGTGAGTGCTCTTAACGGCCAAGCCATTTCTCCAGTCCCTCACTTTTCTTAGTAAATCAACTTCTTTCACTTTGCTTTAAAAAAAAAGAAAAAGAAAAAGAATAAACAACAAAAGATGCTCATGGAAGCAGCTGGGAATATAGCTTAGATGGCAGAATGCAGAATGCGCAAGGCCTTGGGTTGGATGCCCAGTGCCACATGAAACTGGGCATGGTGGCACATGTCTGTAAACCCACAGCCATCCTTGGTTACATAGCAAATTCCAGGAGACCCTGTTTCTCCCTACCATCTTCCCAAAAGGATACTCATGAACTTTCAGATTTGTGAATTCTATGCTAAAATCCTGCAGGTTCAAAGCACATAGGCTGATCACCTAACAGAAAAGAATACAGAGGGCCTCTGGAAGCAGAGAGCTGGGTCTAGCTAGCTGTCTTACACTGTTTATGGCTGCATACCTTTGGGTGAGCTGTGACCTCTACATCACTATTCTTATTGGAATCAGGGAAAATTATGTGTACAGCTCATAGGACTAACTATGAGAAGAAGATGTGATGGGTGGACCACTTGGCAGAGTGCCTGGCATTCATGAGGAAGTCAATAAAAATCCAGTCACTTAATAACTAAATTAATGAATTTTTAGATTAGATATTATTCAAAGCCAGATTTTCATGATTGAGGGGAAAAATTTCCTTGGCTGACATAGACCACCAAAATGTGCAGAAATATTTGGAAATTGATAGGTTCAGTTTCTTTTCCTTTTTTTAAAAAAAAATTAAAAGTCATCTTAATACTATTTTACAAAAGCATTTTTTTTTCTTTTTTCAAGACAGGGTGTCTTTGTGTAACAGCCCTGGCTGGAACTCACTCTGTTGACCAGACTAGCCTCGAGCTCACAGAGATCCACCTGCCTCTGCCTCTGAGTGCTGGGATTAAGGGTGTGTGCCAATACTACCTGGCACACAAAAGCACATTTTAACACTAAAAAATAAAATAAAATAAAGAAAGAACTATATAACTTCCTAAAACACACTTGAATACACTTAGCGCACAGGAATTACTTCTCTGTTCAGAATTTTAGACAGGAAACCATTCGAGCTCACCACCTAGCACAAGGGGGCACTTTGAGGGCACTGCTTGCCAGCCTAAGCCTGCCACAAACTATGTTCCTGACGCTCTACAGCTAAGATGTGAAGATAAGGGTGGGGAAAGGAAAGACAAGAAAAGGTGGCCACAGCAGCTACTGCCAAGTGTTCCCGGTGAATCCATTTAGTAGAATGAGTAACAGCAGCATTTACTGAGGTCTGTCTTCAGGGCACTGTGTTCAGTGATGGATTTGCAGGCTTTACTTCTCAATCCTATGCGCCAGTACTAGTATCCTCATTTTTAAAATTACATTTATTTATTTTGCAAGGAAAGGAACACCTATGTGTCATGGTATGCACTTGAGGTTAGAGGACAACTTGAGGGAGCTGGTTCTCTCCTTGCTTGGCAAGAAGCACCTTTAACAGTGGAGTCATCTCTGTGACCCTCAGTATACTCGTTTCACAGGTCAAAAGTCTTATCTAAGAGACACTAGTATTCAGTAATGCCATTACTCTGGAGCTGGATAACTTAGTTTCTGACTTTAAGGGCATTATTGCAACACAAGTCTATCCATCAATATTTTTAAAAGAAGTTTCAGCCAAGTATAAAGGATACCTATAATCCCAATACTCAGGAGAGAGAGGCAAGAGGACTAATGCAATTCAAGGTCAGGTGGAGATACAAAGTAAGACCCTGTGTGCAAAAAAAACAAAAAAAACCTTCAAATGTTCAATTTTTTTAAAAAATTCTTTTTTAAAAAGAAAAGTCAGGTATGTAAAACAGCATGCTTATGTACCCTAAAGCACACAGACATACTGCAGAGTGATTCCAGATTAACGACTAAGAGAGAGGGGCAGCAAAATGGCTCAACAGGAAAGGTACTTGCTGCCACGCCTGACAACCAGATCCTCAGGACCCACAGGGTGGATGGAGAGATCCAACTCTAGCAAGCTGATCTCTGACCTTCATGATGCATCCCACACACAAAGTAAATAAGTGGGTTTTTTTCTGTTTGTTTATT